ATAAGCCAAGTATTCCTGAATTAATATATTTTTTCAAATTTTTTTCTTATGAAATGATAAAGTTACCCATTTCATTATGTATGAGATCAATTTTTTTTATTGGAGTTAAAATTAACGTAGATATATGACTGAACCTAACCAACCCTACCTAACCTAACCTAACCTAACTTTATAGGTTAGGTTAGGTTAGGTAGCCGAAAAAGTTAGCTTAGGTTAGGTTAGGTAGTCGAAAAACAATTAATTCAAAAAAAATTTGGCTTATTAGGCAAATCAGGCCCTGCATAGTAGGCTGAGAAGTGCGTTCTGGCTACTAGGTACGACATATATATATATATATATATATATATATATATATATATATATATATATATATATATATATATATATATATATATATATATATATATATGTCGTACCTAGTAGCCAGAACGCACTTCTCAGCCTACTATGCAAGGCCCGATTTGCCTAATAAGCCAAGTTTTCCTGAATTAATATATTTTCTCAAATTTTTTTCTTGTGAAATGATATAGCTACCCATTTCATTATGTATGAGGTAAAAAAAATTTTATTGGAGTTAAAATTAATGTAGATATATGACCGAACCTAACCAACCCTACCTAACCTAACCTAACCTATCTTTATAGGTTAGGTTAGGTTAGGTAGCCGAAAAAGTTAGGTTAGGTTAGGTTAGGTAGGTTAGGTAGTCGAAAAACAATTAATTCATGAAAACTTGGCTTATTAGGCAAATCGGGCTTGCATAGTAGGCTGAGAAGTGCGTTCTGGCTACTAGGTACGACATATATATATATATATATATATATATATATATATATATATATATATATATATATATATATATATATATATATATATATATATATATATATATATATATATATATATATATATATATATATATATATATATATATATATATATATATATATATATATATATATATATATATATATATATATATATGTGTGTGTGTGTGTGTGTGTGTGTGTGTGTGTGTGTGTGTGTGTGTGTGTGTGTGTGTGTGTTTACTCACCTAGGTGTGCTTGCGGGGTTTGAGCTTTGGCTCTTTGGTCCCGCCTCTCAACCGTCAATCAACTGGTGTACAGATTCCTGAGCCTGCTGGGCTCTATCATATCTACATTTGAAACTGTGTATGGAGTCAGCCTGCACCACATCACTTCCTAATGCATTCCATTTATTAACTACTCTGACACTCTGTGTGTGTGTGTGTGTGTGTGTGTGTGTACTCACCTAATTGTACTCACCTAATTGTGCTTGCGGGGGTTGAGCTCTGGCTCTTTGGTCCCGCCTCTCAACCGTCAATCAACTGGTGTACAGATTCCTGAGCCTATTGGGCTCTATCATATCTACGTTTGAAACTGTGTATGGAGTCAGCCTCCACCACATCTCTTCCTAATGCATTCCATTTACTAACTACTCTGACACTGAAAAAGTTCTTTCTAACGTCTCTGTGGCTCATTTGGGTACTCAGCTTCCACCTGTGTCCCCTTGTTCGCGTCCCACCAGTGTTGAATAGTTCATCCTTGTTTACCCGGTCGATTCCGCTGAGGATTTTGTAGGTTGTGATCATGTCCCCCCCTTACTCTTCTGTCTTCCAGTGTCGTAAGGTGCTTTTCCCGCAGCCTTTCCTCATAACTCATGCCTCTTAGTTCTGGGACTAGTCTAGTAGCATACCTTTGGACTTTTTCCAGCTTCGTCTTGTGCTTGACAAGGTACGGGCTCAATGCTGGGGCCGCATACTCCAGGATTGGTCTTACATATATGGTGTACAAGATTCTGAATGATTCCTTACACAGGTTCCTGAACGCCGTTCTGATGTTGGCCAGCCTCGCATATGGCGCAGACGTTATTCTCTTTATGTGGGCTTCAGGAGACAGGTTTGGTGTGATATCAACTCCTAGATCTTTCTCTCTGTCTGTTTCATTAAGTACTTCATCTCCTATTCTGTATCCTGTGCCTGGCCTCCTGTTTCCACTGCCTAGTTTCATTACTTTGCATTTACTCGGGTTGAACTTCAACAGCCATTTGTTGGACCATTCACTCAGTCTATCCAGGTCATCTTGTAGCCTCCTACTATCATCTCTGTTTCAATCCTCCTCATAATTTTTGCATCGTCGGCAAACATTGAGAGGAACGAATCTATACCCTCTGGGAGATCATTTACATATACCAGAAACTGTATAGGTCCAAGGACTGACCCCTGCGGGACTCCACTTGTGACGTCTCGCCAATCTGAGACCTCACCCATCACACAGACTCGTTGTCTCCTGTTGCTTAGGTACTCCTCTATCCACCGGAGTACCTTCCCTCTCACTCCAGCCTGCATCTCCAACTTTCGCACGAGCTTCTTGTGTGGCACTGTATCAAAGGCTTTCTGACAATCCAAAAATGTTCAGTCTGCCCACCCTTCTCTTTCTTGCCATATTTTTGTTGCCTGGTCGTAGAATTCAAGTAACCCTGTGAGGCAGGACCTGCCATCCCTGAACCCATGTTGATGCTGTGTTACAAAGTTCCTTCGCTCCAGATGCTCCACTAGTTTTTTTCGCACAATCTTCTCCATCAGCTTGCATGGTATGCAGGTTAGGGACACTGGCCTGTAGTTCAGTGCCTCCTGTCTATCCCCTTTCTTGTATATCGGGACTACGTTAGCTGCTTTCCAAATATCTGGCAGTTCCCCTGTTGCCAGTGATTTGTTATACACTATGGAGAGTGGTAGGCACAGTTCTCTTGCTCCTTCCTTTAGAACCCAAGGGGAGATTCCATCTGGGCCTATAGCCTTCGTCACGTCCAACTCTAGTAAACACTTCCTTACTTCCCCACTGGTAATCTCAAACTCTTCCAGTGGTTCCTGGTTAGCTATTCCCTCACTTACCTCTGGAATTTCTCCTTGCTCTAAGGTGAAGACCTCCTGGAATTTCTTATTCAATTCCTCACACACTTCTTTGTCATTTGTAGTGAATCCTTCCGCCCCTATCCTTAATCTCATAACCTGTTCCTTTACTGTTGTTTTTCTCCTAATGTGGCTATGCAACAATTTAGGCTGAGTCTTTGCCTTGCTTGCGATGTCATTTTCGTATTGTCTTTCTGGCTCTCTTCTCATCCTGATATATTCATTCCTGGCATTCTGGTATCTTTCTCTGCTCTCCAGTGTCCTGTTATTCCTATAGTTTCTCCATGCCCTTTTACTTTGCTGCTTAGCTAGCCTACATCTCTGATTAAACCATGGGTTTCTCATCTTCATTTCTCTGTTTTCCTTTTGGACTGGAACAAACTTGTTTGCTGCGTCCTTGCACTTCTGCGTGATGTAATCCATCATATCCTGGGCCGTCTTTTCCCTGAGCTCTGTTTCCCATGCTATATCTGTTAGGAATTTTCTTATCCCCTCATAGTTTCCCTTTCGGTATGCTAACCTTTTGGTTTCGGTATCCCTCCTCGAGTTCAATAACCCTTCTTCAATCAAGTACTCAAACACCAGTACACTGTGGTCGCTCATTCCTACTGGGTCCTCAAAACCGATTTCTCTTATGTCGGAGTCGTTCAGAGTGAAGACTAGGTCGAGTCTCACTGGTTCGTCATTGCCTCTCATCCTTGTGGGTTCTCCGACATGCTGGGTTAAAAAGTTGCTTGTCACTACCTCCAATAGTTTGGCTCTCCACGTAGCCTCGCCTCCATGCGGTTCCTTGTTCTCCCATTCAATCTTTCCGTGATTGAAGTCGCCCATGATGAGCAGGTGGGATCTATTTCTACAGGCAGCAAAGGCTGCCCTCTCAATTATAGTGTTAACTGCTATGTTGTTGCTTTCGTACTCTTGACTGGGTCTTCTGTCATTTGGTGGAGGATTATATATTACTGCTACTACTATCCTTGGTCCTCCCATTGTCATGGTGCCTGCTATGTAGTCTCTGAAGCCCTCACAGCCCGGGATAGCCATCTCCTTAAAACTCCATTCCTTTCTCATGAGTAGGGCCACTCCTCCTCCTCCCCTACCTTCCCTCTCTTTCCTTATTATTGTGTACTCCTGGGAAAACACGGCATTCGTTATGAATCCAGAGAGTTTTGTTTCAGTGAGTCCAATTACATCTGGGTTCACTTCTTGTGCTCTTACCCTTAGTTCACTTGCCTTGCTTGTGATCCTATCTATGTTCGAGTACATTGCCCTGAAACTAACTCTCTTCTGCTTCTCCTCTGGGGAGGACCTGTGGGGTCTGGGGTGAGCGGGAGCTGGGAGGATCTGGTATGGGGAGACTGGTGGAGGAGGAAGGGCTTGGGGGGGTAGGGGGGAGGGGGAGGGTAGGGGGAGTGGGTGAGGGGGGGAGGGGGAGGGTAGGGGGAGTGGGTGAGGGGGGGAGGGTTGGGGGGGTGGGTGAGAGGGGGAGGGTTGGGGGGGGTGGTGGGGGGATGGGGGAGAAAGGGGGGTTTGGGGGGGCAATAAAGTGGGGAGGGCTTGGGGGGCGTGGGGGGAAAGGGAAGGCTGAGGTGGTTGAGGAAGAGGGGAGGGTTTTGGGGAGTGTGTGTGTGTGTGTGTGTGTGTGTGTGTGTGTGTGTGTGTGTGTGTGTGTGTGTGTGTGTGTGTGTGTGTGTGTGTGTGTGTGTAAATCTCGAAAATTTACACGTGATGCAAAATGTGACAGTGTCAGACCACGGAGAAAGAATTGAAACAGGAATTTCCTTAACTACTTTCGTATATTAATTCATCTTCAGAAGGAATGATGATCGTCATTCCTGCTATGGGTTGCTTCCAGGGAATGTGTGTGTTTGTATTTATGAAAAATATATGTAGAAGACATAACAAAGGAAAAAAATAAATTGGTTAGAAAGGCTGGGGTCACAGAGTTAATTCCTCGATTCTGCTGGATCAAGTAGTAAATACACATACTCTCACTAACTTAATGTCAACTTTTGTAGTTTTACCACATCAATGATTACTATAATATTATTAGTCTACATTATTTCGCTTGCAGATAATTTCCAAAATATGATGGGCAGCGAACTTAGCATCGTGACCGTTCCATACTTCCCATATATGGACTTCGAGCCATGCAGAAATAATCCTGAAGGTTTGGTCAAGCTTAAGGACTCACTTGATGTCAGGATCCTTAGCACCTTGGTCATTAAGCTAAACTTCACGTAAGGAGCACTTGTTACCCTTAGTTATATATATAATAAATGAGGCACTAGCAAAGTAAATATACTTCCTCCATTACAATATTGATACTATATGCAATTAAATAATAATTACATAATTCCTGTATACCCGATGCATCAGGTATAAAATACACGCTGAACCATTACGCTCATTTGGTGAGGATAAGAATGGCAAGTTTACGGGGATGATCGGAAAGCTGCAGCAGGAGGAGACTGACCTGAGTACCATTGTTGCTCCTACATCAGGACGCCTCAGGGTGGTCGACTTCCTTCGGACATATCCCTCCGACCCGCTTGCACTCACCTCCCTCAAACCAGCCCCACTGCCTGCGGAGCTCTCCCTGGTCAGGCCGTTTGAAGGTGTGATCTTCACTTCAGATGAGTAATAACAAATATTTTCTGTATATATATATACATATATATATATATATATATATATATATATGCGGAAAATCCACAGAGAAATATGAAATGAGGTGAACGTTTCGGCTTTGTTAAAGCCTTTGTCAACACCAGACTGACTAAGGAGAAGGGAGAAGGGGGAGGATATATAGGCCGACACCTGACCAACCCATCCCTAGGGTTGGTCAGGTGTAATTAACCAAAATCAGGTATAGCTTAGCTTAAAATGGTCAAAGAGGATTAAGCGGTCAGAGAATAAGGATGAAAGATTAAAGAAAAGCCTCATCCTTATTCATCCTTATTCTCTGACCGCTTAATCCTCTTTGACCATTTTAAGCTAAGCTATACCTGATTTTGGTTAATTACACCTGACCAACCCTAGGGATGGGTTGGTCAGGTGTCGGCCTATATATCCTCCCCCTTCTCCCTTCTCCTTAGTCAGTCTGGTGTTGACAAAGGCTTTAACAAAGCCGAAACGTTCACCTCATTTCATATTTCTCTGTGGATTTTCCGCATAAAATGATCAGTGTTTTGTGATCGTCAATTGCATCATATATATATATATATATATATATATATAACTGAAAACTCACACCCCAGAAGTGACTCGAACCCATACTCCCACAACTGGTATGTACAGGGACGCCTTAATCCGCTTGACCATCACGACCGGACATAAGGAAGTGATAGCCGAGGCTATTTGAACCACTTCCCCGCCGGCACTCGGATGGTAATCTTGGGCATAGCATTTTATCAAATCACCTCATTCTTTGGGGCACACGTGAGGAACACAAATGCAAACAAGCCTGAATGGTCCCCAGGACTATATACAACTGAAAACTCACACCCCAGAAGTGACTCGAACCCATACTCCCACAACTGGTATGTACAGGGACGCCTTAATCCGCTTGACCATCACGACCGGACATAAGGAAGTGATAGCCGAGGCTATTTGAACCACTTCCCCGCCGGCACAATAGCCTCGGTTCAAATAGCCTCGGCTATCACTTCCTTATGTCCGGTCGTGATGGTCAAGCGGATTAAGGCGTCCCTGTACATACCAGTTGTGGGAGTATGGGTTCGAGTCACTTCTGGGGTGTGAGTTTTCAGTTGTATATAGTCCTGGGGACCATTCAGGCTTGTTTGCATTTGTGTTCCTCACGTGTGCCCCAAAGAATGAGGTGATTTGATAAAATGCTATGCCCAAGATTACCATCCGAGTGCCGGCGGGGAAGTGGTTCAAATAGCCTCGGCTATCACTTCCTTATGTCCGGTCGTGATGGTCAAGCGGATTAAGGCGTCCCTGTACATACCAGTTGTGGGAGTATGGGTTCGAGTCACTTCTGGGGTGTGAGTTTTCAGTTGTATATAGTCCTTGGGACCATTCAGGCTTGTTTGCATATATATATATATATATATATATATATATATATATATATATATATATATATATATATATATATATATATATATAATAAGGGTACCCCCTCTGGTGTAATTGTAGGGACCTACAGCCTCAAAGAAGAAAATAAAGAGTATTCAGAGAAGACCTTGTAGATTCTCGCTGAATACTTTGATATTTTCCTCTCCTCTCCTCTCACCCCTATTTTTTTCTGTATTTTTTTTATTACATCGGAACAGGTTACAGAAAACACACACATATAACAGTCAATGTTCGAAGACCTCATCCAGCTCTTCGGAGGTTGGGTGCTTGCCCAAGAAACAACACGTATTTCCTCTCTGGACTGCAACACTGAGGCGCTGGAACAGGAAACTGGCCATTCTTGAGTCTTTAGTTTTAAAAATGAGTTCCTCACTCACCTTTAGGAATTTAAGTGCACATTTACCCCAGGAGCTCAGAGTCTCAGGGCCTATTGGCACGAACCTGTAACAAGAGTTACAAATCCACAAGGGCCGTGACGAGGATTTGAACCTACGCCCGAGAGCATGCCAGACGCTGCCTTAATCGACTGAGCTACAAGATGGTCAAAGAAATTGAAACCAGAAGTTGTACTGAACTTACTTGGATCACAATAGCGATTGTGATTTCTGTGTCTAATGAAGTAAGGGCGAAGAGGTAGAGGTAGAACAGTATTGAAGAGGTAGAACAGCCTATTCCAAAGCTCGAGTGCATGGGGAAATTGTATAAAACCATGGTTTATGTCTCAGAGAGGCTGCAGGATCCAAGTGAGTTCTGTAGAACATCTGGTTTCAATTCTTTTGACCATATCATAGCTCAATCGATTAAGGCAGCGTCTAGGATGCTCTCGGAAGTAGATTCAAATCCTCGTCACAGCCCTTGTGGATTTGTTCATTTGATGCATCACGCTATTGTCATTTCTGTGTGTACTGTACAAATGATCTAAGTCCCTGTACTTGATAGTTTTCTGGGTCTCCCTGAAGGTGGCCGCCCTATCTCCCTCAACTGTACTGCGAGGTAGATATGTATACGCCAATATAGATGCACACGTTAAGTCCCACACGACCTGCTTACTATCCCTCCATGGCGTCTGGGCGTTTGTTACTGTTGTCAGGTCTGCACAACTGAGGTTCCCTTTGTGCTGGACACCCAGCTGTAGACAAACTTCTCTTGATGATTTCATTGACAACTTCATGTCTGGCAATCGTTCTTGGTGACTTACGACAGATGAGACCATGGCTGCCGTATTGGTCCGCCTGTGCATAGCCCCAAATACACCAGTGTTTGGTGGAAATAGGGGCAGCAAGTCGCAGGGCAACACCATTACTTAGGTCCAGATGGTCTAGGCGGGTGCCTAAGGCAGATTTAGGGTCAGCCAACAGGAAGTCCCCGGCATGGGGAGCTTGCACAGCTAGGAGACGCGCTTTATCCTTCCCAGACGCTGCCTCCAGCAATGCTGTGGCAATATTGTCCACTATGGGGCTGTCCCATTTGGCCTGTTTGCAGTCGTTTGGGAAAGATGGTCGAAGGTAAGGGTTGGCAAGATTGTCCCACTGGGCTGGCTTCATCCGCGATCCAAGTGAGTTCTTGTATTCTGCCAGACGGCAAAGGAGAGGTATTCTGGTAGTATTTCATTCACTAATTCACCTGTAGCACTGGTCGAAGATAAGAAAGCCGGTAATGCTAACTGTGTCACCTTGCGAATACCTATACCCCAGAGTCTAACTGGGATTTGATTTTGTTTGTTGCCGCCGGAGGCGGCTAGTTTATTGTGCACCCCATACTCATCCGGTGAGCTGTAGCGCAAAAAACATTACAGAGGACACAAAAGGTCTTTATCAGACCTCATCTTAGATTATTACATAAACAATTTCATCTATCATTCACACCTTATAGTTACAATGTCAGCTAGTTACAGAGAAATGTAACTAATTGTAACTAAAAAATCTAACTGGAAGTGTTGCTCAGTCCCATTGGTCATCTTGCAGAGAGACGTTTAGCTCTTTCATGGCTATTGATTTTAGGAGCGCTTCATATTCTGGACTGTCGAAGGAGGGAGCACACCTTACGAAATAAGTATAGTAGGCATCCGTAAATCCCGTGGGGTTACGGAGTTGTGCTCTGGGTGTCTAGTTTTTGTAGTCTAGTTGGATGCGGCGACTACTCTGGCGGTGAAGGCCAACCCGATAATGACAGTCCCGACTGCAGCGAGCCCAGATAAATGCCAAAGCGGGTGCGTCTGACAGTGGCCGAGACCTCCTCTGAAGTCTGTTATCCTCCGCCTGCCTCTTCAATTCGTCCTTGAATTGCTGGAGTCCCTTCTGCACTTTGTATCTCCAGGCAGATCTGTCCGCAGCTGCTGCCTCCCAAGTGTTGATGTCGATGTTCATCTGCTTGAGGTCGCGTTTGCAGGCGTCTTTGAAACGCAGCTGAGGTCTTCCAGTGGTTCTCCTTCCTGATGCCACTTCTGCATACAAGAGGTCCTTCAGTATGTGGCCATCTTCCATGCGTGTGACGTGTCCCAGCCATCGCATGCGTCTCTGTTTCAGGAGAGTGAACATTGAAGGGACTCCTGTTCTGTCGAGTACTGTGTTGTTGGTGACATGATCTTTCCACTTGATGTCAACGATGCGTCTCAGGTTTTGCATGTGAAAGACATTGAGCCATCGCTCTTGGCGAGAGCACAGGGTCCTGGATTCCAAGCCGTAGAGAAGTGTACTCACCAGACATGCCATATAGACTTGTGCCTTGTTGTGCACTGTCAGTGTGGCATTTTCCCAAACGCGCTCTGTGAGCCTGGCCAGTGTTGTTATGGCCTTCCCGATATGCCTCTTGAGCTCAGTGTCCAGGGAAAGGGTGTCTGAGATTGTGGAGCCAAGGTACACAAACTCGTGAACTGCCTCCAGCACATAGTCTGCTATGTTTATACAGGGGTAGCTCATTGACGTCTTGTCCCATCAACTGTGTCTTCTTCAGGTTGATTGTCAGGCCGAATTCGGAACAGGCTGCGGCAAAGCGGTTGAGTAGCTGCTGCAGGCCTTCTGCTGTGAGTGGTAATCGCTGCGTCGTCGACGAAGAGGAACTCGCTGAAAATTCGCATCTGTACTTTCGTCTTTGCTCGGAGTCTGGATAAATTATAGAGCTTTCCATCAGATCTTGTACGGAGATAGATGCCCACTGTGGTTGTTCCAAAGGCATTCTTGACAAGGATCACAAAGAAAATGCTGAACAGGTTGGAGCAAGAACGCACCCCTGTATAACACCACAGTTGATGTTGAATGATTTAGAATCTGAGCTATTGAGTTGTATCATGCTGAGTAGGGTGGGTGGGCAGCCAATTTTGGCCAAGATCTTGAAGAGTCCGTCCCTGCTCACGAGGTCGAAGGCCTTTGTAAGGTCAATGAAGGCGATGCACAAGGCTTTTCTCGGCTCTCTGCACTTTTCTTGAAGCTGTCTCAGGGAGAACACCATGTCAGTGGTCGACCTCTCTGCTCGGAAACCACACTGTGACTCAGGGTACACTCTTTCAGCAAGAATC